GGATAAGACGTGGATTTGTGCCATAGATGCCATGTTCAATGAAATATTTGGGCATGATTTTCTCCGATACACCTATACTGAGAAGTTAGTGTGCATTGTACATGAGGATGACGAGCCGTTAAAGGTATATGATCACGAAGAATGGGAAAATAACCTAACTAATTCCTTGAAGAAGACTACTCTGCAAAATTACACTTTGAAAAGAAGGCGAAGAAAGAGAGCTACCATCAGTCCTCCTAGTGAAAGTCTACCTCCCACACCATGCACTCCAGCCACCATCAGTCCTCCTAGTCAAAGTCTACCTCCCACACCATGCACTCCAGCCACCATCAGTCCTCCTAGTCAAAGTCTACCTCCCACACCATGCACTCCAGCCACCATCAGTCCTCCTAGTCAAAGTCTACCTCCCACACCATGCACTCCAGCCACCATCAGTCCTCCTAGTCAAAGTCTACCTCCCACACCATGCACTCCAGCCACCATCAGTCCTCCTAGTCAAAGTCTACCTCCCACACCATGCACTCCAACTACCATCAGTCCTCCTAAGCATCCTGCATCTGAAGTGTATCCTATTCCAAATTCTCTAGCAAAGGCGTTGGCAAGTAATGCAACTCGTGCCGATATGGCGGCCTGTGAAATTCTGAAAACTGACAACTCTGTGAACGAGTCTTCACTACTTCTTGTCAATAAACCATTTGATGAAATTGATCCATTAACTTTGAAAAGTTGGCCGCAAGAGCACATAGTAAGAAAGGCCTTACAAATGCTGAGTGAAGCGAAAGGAAATGCAATCACGGCATCAGAATGTGATCGGGGTGTCGTTCTCGGACATCTCGGTGTCTTTACAGAACGTGGTCTCAGAGTTCTAGAAAGGGTATCCACCATAGCTCAAACGAAAACGAATTTTGGAGAAGAAGAGAAATGGCTGCGTGAGGACGATGGTTTTCTGACAAACAACGAACAAGTTGAATTAATTAGTGTGTTGGGAAACAATAAATGCGATGAATGCGTTGCTAAGCATGATGAGTTTGTGATGTCCGTGACTTCGCTTTCATACTTTGTAAAGGAAAGATATCTGGATAACTTTTCCATTGATTTTATGCTGGCAAAATATCGAAGTGCGATGGGAAAAGTTCGCTCGGTCTTGTGTCTCCCTAGCTACTTTAAAGACATGGCTTGTGCTTCAATTGTAGCTGGCAATAGGCACAACAGAGTAAAATCAGTATTCCAGGGACATTCAAATGACTGCAGTTCGGCGGAATTGCGCTTTATATTTCTCCCCATTCATATGTCGGGGTGTCATTGGGGATTGGTAGTCATTGACGTCTTGCACCAGGTATGCTTCTTTGATGATGGCATGAAGTATCGCCCCCCTAGGGAAACGTTCAAGCTAGTGAATATTATCATTGATCTACTGCAACAGACATTCAACATTTCACTACCAATGTTGTCAAGCAATGGTCAATTTAGACGATTTGGCATGCCCCGACAGATGGTTAGAGGGAACTTAGGAAGTGGAAGCTGCGGTGTGGGAGTGGTTTTAGCTGCGAAAACGTTCATGGAGTGTGCAGATACATCTTCGACACCCAGAATGTACTGGAGTTTTGTAGACTCCAAGTATCTCCGCAAAAAGCTAATGGTTCAAATTGTCCAATGGAGCAAAAAATAATGATATGTTTATTATTATCAAAACTATATATACAGCTGTTTGCAATAATTCTGACCCCCCTACACTAATATTCATATATATCATTTAGAAATTATGGGATACCAATGCTGATATTTTTTTAGAAAGTACTAATTCTGGACAACTCAAAAAATATATCAGTCATGATATCCCATAATATTAAAGGTCAGTTTGATATATATGAAATATGGCAGAGGGGGTCAGAATTATTGCAAACAGCTGTACATAACTTATTTATAATAATATGTTTGATTTCATGAGTACTGAKATCAATGCAACAATTAAAACACGGCCAGAACTGAAACAAAATACCGAGAGCCGGTGCCGGCGAATATTACTATTATAGTTAAAACACCTAGTTTGTACGTCTCATTACTATTCGTGTTCTTTTCTTTTTCAGTAAATACTGATCCATATCTAGCTATAAATATCAGTCTAAAATCAGATAAAAATTTATCAGACAAGCATTTTATTGTTGCATTTCATTGTTTCTCGGGAAGGAAAACACTTAGTTCAGCGCTAAAAGGCCAGTGGAATCACATCAGGCAACCAAAGCTGTTAGTTAGAACGAGAGAAAATGGTTGTTATATAATGTTTGATTAGATAGATTATGAGATATAATAAGGTTGTTGGGGGAATTCCACATCGCCCGACTAATCAGTTCCCCAAAACAAGCTATAATGAGCTTATTTTAAAACACCTTTATTTTAATAAAACAACCTTTTCTCTCGTTTTAACTAACAGCTTGGGTTTCCTCACTTGGTCGTATGAGTATCCATCACATGATAACTCAAACTTCTTTGAAATTGTTCACTTTATAGTGATTTTTGTAAAAAAAAATTATTCAAATATCAATGTAATTCAGAGTCAAATGAAAAACTGTACAAAATGGTATTTAAGTCAGAAAATCAAAATATAATAATATACATAATCTAACGCAAAATTGGTTTATCAATGTATGAATTACGACAAAGCAAAATAATGTTATAATCGATAATTAGCAAAATATAGCCTATATTTAAGATATTTTGTAAATACGCTTTAGCAGTACCTGTATTAATGGTCGTGCCAATAAAAATTATATTATTCTCAACACAAACTGCTTTCACGGGAAAAACAATCTCACGATTACTGTTAAAACTTACAGTGCAATTTTTTCTAAGTAATATCTAACATCCAACTTTCCCAATCCACTAAGCGTGTATAGTTTTGGCCACCAAATAAGCTCAAACTCTCTTGAAATTCTTCCTTCGGGCTCTTTTACAAGGATAGCGCACTTATTTGAAGGAGTTTCATTTGCAACAGATTGCTCAGTTCTTCTGACGAAGGCTCTTGCTTTTGCAGCAGCAAGCAGTTGAGAAATATTTCCCCTTTGTGACTGTGGACGGTTTATGATGTCATTTCCTGACGAAAAGAGTAATTGAGGCTTTAGTTCTACAATATCTTGCTTGGAAAGTGCACCTTGAACCAGTGAAATGTCAAATACTTTGTAAGATATTCTGCGTGTCGATTTCCTGTAAAATGGTCTTTTCTTGTGACTTGTATCTCGTATGTTGTCCGGAAGAGCGTTCATATCAGCTGCCAACTTACAAAAGTACTCCGGTTTCACTTGCCACATATTCAACGTAATCCATTTGCCTATGAAACAAACAAAACAATTCATAAATATGAAGAACGTAACAATGAGATAACATTTTATTGAACTTTACATAAGAAGACAGATGCGCAAAAGAAATTGTCGTATAAACAATAATGTAGACAGAAGTCAGGTTTCACGTATCAATGAATAATCACAGTATAAATTACATCAATAAGTATAATTACCTGGAAACATAGGGTGAAGGGATTCATTTATAGATTCAACGAGGCCTGCTAGCCATTGATAGTACCCAGGAAGCTTTTCAGTAGGAAAAGTTTCACTTGTAGGTATTGTAGCAGCTTTTCCATCTTTGTCGACAAAATCAAGAGCCAGTGACTGATGTTGAGGTGAATTGTGCTTGAACGTGTAGTGTTTTCTCAGCGTGGTTCTAGATTTGAAGGATTTGTAGCACTCAGGGCAGTGTGTAAGAAAAGACATTTTAAATCTTTACCTAATATTTAAAACAATCAAATTGAAGAAGCTGAACTAAAGCTGTATGTAGTGTCAGTTATCGGATAGGTTTCCTAACAGTCGATTCACGCGTCCAGTTCAGTTGCGGTAACTGTGCGAACCAATCACAATACCAGGAAGCAGGAAATGAAATTTACTGTAAATACTTTCCAAGCGCGAAATCTACGTCAATTGCGATCAAAGTCATGTTTAGAAATCTTTACTATGGGTAAGAGAGATAATACTGAGATTGAAAAGTCAAAAGGAAGAGCTGCTGCACGCAAACGTGTCCATGAAAGACGAAAAAAAAGACGGATAGAAAGGCGATTACTTCGACAAGAGAAGCAGAATTTGAAAGCAAATGAGCTGGATGCAGGATTACAGAGAGCTGTAGAAGAAAAAGATAAAGAGATACAAAGACAAAAGGTGGAAATCGAAGCATTAAAGCTGCAGTTACAAAAAGAAAAAGAGTTCCGTAAGAAGTCGATGCAGCTACCTTCAATACGACCGTGGGACCTGACGGTTAGTCCACAAGAGATAGGAAAGGGGTCGTACGGAACCGTGTTAATCGCTAATTTTGGAACGATGGCCGTGGTTGTTAAAAATATTGACCGAAGTGTAACTACTCTGAAAATGGCTCAGACTGAAGCTCACTTCCTACACAACCTGCGACACCCCAATCTGCCACTCCTTATTGGAGTAGACTTTGATGCCGTATCAAACTATAAAATCGTCATGCCACTCTATAGCGTAAATGGATCACCAGTCAATTTGCTTGACGCTATGTCGAAGAGACTGGTTAAAATTGGCGTCCGCAACACGTGGCTTGATGTATTGATACAAATCACTAAAGCCATCGACTACATACACAAGGCTGGAGTACTGCATAATGACTTAAAGTCAAATAATGTAGTGCTACATCAAAATGATGATAGCAAATTGAAAGCAGTGGTGATAGACTTTGGAAAAGCATCATTTATTGCAGATGGTTATGTCTCTTCGCAGTGCAGTAACAAAAGACACATCGCACCGGAGCCAGAAAAGTCAACAGCAAGTGACATTTATTCCCTCGGATGCATTATTAAAGACGCTTTCGGTCTAGTAAAGGTACTCGGCCAGATTCCTCTACTACAGGATGTTTACCGAAAATGTAGAGAAGTGTCTCCTATAAAGAGACCTACGGCAACCAGTGTTTTCAAAAGTTTGAGATCTTGCCTTATATAGACTTTTATATTCATTTTAAAATTTTGTTACTGACTTTTTGTTGTGATCACTATGTATTTATTTCGTGTATAAAAATATATATCACGTGTTCTTATAACTATATCTGATGAATATGCAATTGAACGTTTTAGTTTTACGTCTGTATGTATTTTTTATCATTCGATTCAATATAAAACAGTTATACTGTTAATAACTGAACGTACCTCACTTGAGGTCCTTGAGGTCAAATAAAGATATATAATGTTTAAAAATATAATATTACTTAAGTGTGAAGTTCCGGCTTACTGACGTGTGTTGTTGGCAAATAACCTGGCGTATCCCTGGAAAGTAGATAATGATATACAAATCATAGTTATCACCCCTCCCCTCATCTCTATTATTATTACAAATATGTCGAATGCGTTGACAGATCTTGAACATTTTGTAGAGGATTAGTTCAGATAAAACCGCAGGAATGCAGAATATTGTTCTGCATTCCAGAGCGTAACTAGGGGTTCTGGCTCGTTATGTTACAAATGAAACGAGTCCCATGCTAGCTCAACCTTCTTTTACACAGGGAGCCCACTCTAAAGACAAGTACATTTATAAAAATCAGGATTGAAAATACAAAGTTTACTCTTTTTTAATAGATTACGTRGTTTAAACCCTGAAAAAGTCAGAAAAAGAACAAAAAATGCTAAAAAGATCAAAAGTTGCTCTAAGTTGCTCGAAAGTGAAAAAGTTGCTCGAAATTCAAAAAGTTGCCCAAAAGTTGCCGAGCAACTTGTGGACAGCCTTACCTCTGATATTATTAGCGCTCGCTTGCCTTCTTCTACGATATAGTCATTTTGGATTGTAAAAAATTCTATATATATTTAAAAGTTTTGTTGCTGCAGCGATAACGTTGATAGAGTGCACGTCACATAAGCATGAAACAATTCTTAATATGTATTGCTAAATAAGATTTAGTTATCAACTAAGAATTCAACAAAGCATAAACACAATGCCAATTATTTAAATTCCTTTGCAGCATTGTTCTCAATTCTTAGTTAGTTGATAACTAAATCTTATTTAGCACTACCTCTACATAATTAAGAATTGTTTCATGCTTGTGTGACTTGCACTCTATTTTCACACACAGCATACAAATGCATTCCAATTCACTAAAGTTTACGCATATTGATTATTACTAARATGTGCACGTCCCGGAGACAAAATTACAAGGCATTGTTTTATATTCACGGGGTTCACAAATAACCACACAGCAATGGTGCAATAAAATGACGAAAAGAAACTCACCATCTATATGTGTAGCCTTGAACTTGTGTCACTGAGTGATTCGTACATGCATGAGTTAGATGAKCAACATGTCAGGAAGAACATGCAGCAAGTGCCGTCTTCATGGCAAAATAGAACCACTGAAAAGGCACAAAAGAAACTGCATGTTTCAAAATTGTACTTGTGCAAAATGTGCCAGCCATGACCATGTATTGGAAGTTATGAACGGTCAACGACAAAACAAAAACGACAAAGGGCGAATTTGTAGATCAAATTTATCAGCCAGCGTTACTTCTACTGTTGCAGCCTCTAGCACTCTAACTGCGTCAACTACATTTCCAAAGAAATGGCAAAAAGCAACAATGAAAGAAAGCGTTCACTTGTACTTCAGATTGCCGACTACGAATTGGGAGGAAAAATTACCCGAAAGAACAAGTTAAAAACCGACTAAATTAGYGGTAAGTCAGTTTGGTTTGAGAGGAACTTAAAACAATACACTCACTACATGATACAGCTGAAAATAAAAATATTTTCATCATCATTGATATAGTTCGGGATTTTTTATTGTATGGGCTTTTCGCGTTAAATTTCGAAGGGAAAGTAAAACAAAAATATTTCGATTTTAGATGTATATATCGAGGTCCACAATTCCTTTCGGTCATGCAATTGCCATTGGACAATTTATATCAGTTCTTTCCGACGTCTTTTTTTTTGAAATATGTGTATACAGAAGAACGATTTCAAATCTTGTACATGTACTCAAACGTAAACCTCGTACTCGTTGATATATCTCATACGAGCAAACTTTTAATTGTATATATATATTTTTTTCAGAAAAGCGGAAATTACAGTTGAAGAAGCATAGAGAAACGTACAGCGCGTATAAATTCTTACTCTAAAGAAATAGCTGCAGAAGCAAAAGGGGAAATGAATCCTCTCACGGTATTAAAGAATGCCATCCAGCTGCATCAAAGAATGCCAAGAGTCCACACAGACAGCTAATTCGCATAYATAATTACATATGTAAACACTTCGAGTTCTAGAAAATTTTCTTTTTAATTAAACGCTCTGAAAATCAGCGAAATAAGTGAGAAAGAGTTACTCAGAAAGCCACAATTTAAATTTTTATAATTACTATTTTACATTTCACACAAGCTCGGTAGAAAGTTTGAATATATTGACTGCCAATTTTGATTGCCAATTCTCACGCAAATGCAAGAGATCTGTGAGTATAGAAGACAATGGAAATAATTTGAAATCTCACGAGTTTTATCTACATTTCTGAATATTTTAGTACACAATTGAGGCTAACACAGGGTGAAAGAGATCGAGAACCTAAGCTATTTACTCCGCCCTGTCCTGTGCKACAATCTTATCACAAAGTAAACTATTATAAAAATGTCGCGTTTCATACAAATTTCATTATACCCTGGGTATAATGTTTGTTTTATTGTGTCGCATTGAAACCAAAGCTAATAAACTATATATCATTTTAAAGCTTTATATAGAATA